TTCAAAGGGTTTGGAAACAAGTAAAAAGTTGTCCCGGGTAGGCGAGTTATCCCCAGCAGAGCGTTTACAAGGCAGCTAGGGTTACCCTAGCGCTCAGCTAAGGTTACCCTAGTGCTAGGGTAACCCTAGCTGCCTTGTAAACACGTCGATGAAAAATAGAAAAGATGTGGGAGCGTTAGGGTAACCCTCCTGCCAGGGTAACCCAAGCACTAGGGTTACCCTACCTGCTTGTAAACAGGGCCTTAATAAAGTGAATAAAAAATCAATGTGCTGGTCTAGGAACAAGTTCTTTTGTGGTGAATAGGGAGGAATAGCTGTAAAATGGGACCAAAAAGAGGTAATCCACTTTCCATTAAGAAACATGGTCCATTGTAACAGGTACGAAGTGTATAAACTTTATATAGACAGTCATGATTTTCATTAACATTTTAAAATCAAACCATACCATTTGGACTTGCAGTTTTCTGTCAACCATTCTGTATATGTTGCTAATTGAATGATGACAACTATAAATTTGGAAAGTCCAGATGATTCATTATAGTGTTCCCATTCTTTTCTATCGCTGTTGTACAGATGCCCGTGCCTGGGAAATAGATCGTTCTCTGAAAGAGAATAGCAATAGTCTTTTTAAAAAACATGTTTTACTTAGTATTAATTGAGTTTTAGCAACATCAGACCAGCAACACAAACCTCAAAATGCAGGGTGATGCTACTACAAGAGTTCAGAAATTTGAAAAGGTTCCTGGGAAAGCCAACACCTTCTTAGGAAATGGTGAGTCCCTCCCAGGCCTTCAAGACGTGCCAATTGCCTTTCTGTGCCACCCATTCATACTCTTATCTACGGCAACCACTGCTGGCTATAAAGACAAGAAGAGTAGCCAAATCCCTATTGCTTTACGTAATCATACAATGCCTATTGCAACGACCACCACATATCGTATAATTAATCACTTGATGCAATTATATTATTCGATCTGAAACAGAGCAACACAATTCATCGTTACGCAACTTACTTATAATTTCTAAAACCAAAGATTTCATTGAAAAATACCTCAACGAGAAACTCTAATTTCACTATCATGCTTTACTCACTTCTGTGGCGAGTCGTAACTTAAACGGGTTAGCCTTAAACTGATTAGCTTGAATCTCTTTTCCTGGTGAGCAATACCGGTTTAATAGTACTTAGTAGAAGACATGATGAATACTCTTGATGACTATGATCTACTAGAAAAATTTTGCAATATGGACTAATGTACATGAACATAATGATGTTACAGTGTCATTAAAGGTAAAAAAATTCAGATCTCGTGATGTATACTATAATTGTACTCGTGTTTTGTGTGAATGCTACGGCTTTGTAGTTTCGAATAAATTTTAGCGCTCGCTACGAAGCCCGAGTGAACGCTCCTCGAGCGTCTAGTTTGATATTTTTTCTGATTTTTACCTTCAAATGCTTTCTGGAGAGGAGCCAAAGACTGTTAGAATAAAATGAGGAGAGAAAATTGAAAGATATAGAACAAACAGTGGCTCGCAAGAAGAGGCTCGAGGCTCGCAAAAAGAGGCTCGAGGCTCGCAGGCTCGCACATTAGTTACTCTCGTTTTCGTAATGGTCTTCGTTTTCGCAATGGGTCTTCGTTTTCGTAGATTATGGGTCTTCGTTTTAGTAACTACCCTTGACTCTAATTATTTGGATTAGGGATGGCGAATAGTAAATGCGAGACTTTGCGAGACGGCGAGACTAGCGTTTTTCTTTGCGAGCCCGAGACATATTGACTCAGTTAGATTGCGAGACCGAGACC